TCTGTGATCCCCCTCTAAAAATATAGTATTTCTTTAACTGGTGCAGTGGGACGTACAGAACACTGAAGCTCTTGGAGCTCTGTTGTCCCTTTGGTTGCAGAGACATTGGCATATAGGATACATTCAGCACTGAAAATACTGGTAGTAAGAGAATTTTAGGGCAATATTTTTAGTTTGTAGGTGATTTTCCTAGCAACTTGAATGGTCTGATAGCAAAACTAATACATGTATTACTGCTTCTTGATTATCCAAGGTGTCAGCTGACCTTTGTAAAAATAAATGTGTTTTCAGTAAAGAGGGAGACTTGTCGGGTTCACATTCTCTTATAGGTTGATTTCAAGTATGCATTTATTGAACTGTAACTTGTTCTACATTAGTATGTATGAATAAGAAAGTATGTTGTCTTTCGATCAAAAGTACATTTTAGGATCCATAGTGTTTAAAATTGTTATAAAAAGTATGTAGTAACTAGAAGGACTTTAAATGTTTCCATATGTTTAGTCAAAACTTGGCAAAAATTACCAAGGCCCACTCTTTTGAGGTGTATATAGAAGCTGATGTATAGTTACTGAACATTGTGTAGCCAATTATTTCAATAATATTTTGTTCCAGAAACATATATTTGATCAAAGGTTTCTGGTAGTTTTGTGCCAAACTGGGAGTTTGTATCTGGAATAGAGACGGTATTTTGTCTGTGTGAGAAATAATGTGGCTTTATTCAGATAGCTATTTGAAGGCAGTACAGATATTCTGCAGCCCCTATCAGCCTGTGGCTGGTGCCCTTGCTTCTGTAAGGTAATTTCTCTTGGGCATAAAATGACTCCATGCTTCTTTTCCAGTCCTCTTCATTTTCAGGAAGGGAGAGAGGGATCCCAGACAATGTAGATTCTGACTGGGAGCTTAAGGAAGACAAAAATCTGAGTCTCTAAAAGTCCTACAGTTTTCTGTGTTTGCTGGAAGTCTAAATTGGTAATTGTTTTGGGATTTCCCTAAATTCAGAAAAACAGCGTACTGAATTTTAAGTTATTTGGCTACAGGAAGTGTAGTCACATGAAAATGTAATTGCTATAATATGGCTATCTCTAATGGTCTCTGGGGAAACAATCAGTATCCTTGGTTGTATTGGTCTTTTCTTGGTAGTGCTTAATTATCGAAGAGGCAGAGGTTAGTTATCTTACAATGAATGCCTGAGACTCTTTCAGGAATGAAACAACTCTGCTCTTTAATGCTAATTGAAAGGAAAAATGAAGTGAATTTTTTTACAGTATTTATCTTCAAACAAAACTAAAAAAACCCCACACCCTTACCTTTATAGTAGATTTACTCTGTTATCAGACCTGTCATATGTTCTAGCTTTAAAATCAGTTTTCTAGGGGGCAGACTTTTCTGTAATCTAAACTAGCAAAAATAATTATACATTGGATCAGTTTTAATGCATTTCTTGTTATAAGAACAATAAATGTTTGGACTTAAAACTGTACTAGCCTAAATCCTGGAGTTTTTCCAGAAACTCAAACTAAAAAATGTTTTCTGCAGTTACAGGTTGTGCTTTGTGGTGATGGCCCTCCAGGAGTCCTAGCAACTTTCACTTGTCACTGAGTGGTGCAGGATAAACTTCTTTTCCAGGCTTAGGACCCCCATAGGAAGTTCACTGGTCTCCTTCTCATACCCACTAACTTATCACTGGACCTCAGGGCAGGATTGTAGCTGCTTTAGATAAATACCTTTTTCTCTTTAAACTAACCTTATAAATCCATAATTATATGAATGCTTCTAATACAAACTGAGTTAAATAAATCTTTGCTCCCTTAATTAAAGGTATATAGGATTTTTTCTGCAAAGTCCACATTGTTCTTAACACAACAGTATGGCATACAGTGTATGCTTATGATAAAATTGGCATACAACTTCATTTTTATGAACCAGAATCACTAATTCCAGGATTCATGATTTTGTTCAGGAAGGGATGCTATTCTTTCCCTTAAATTATATTATTGTATGGAATAATATCATTTTTAGTAAGACTACAAACTGGGTGATAACTTTGAAATTTATTTTTGCTAAAGTAACAAGTCTGCATATCAAACTATGTAATCATCCTGGTAGCTAATACTGTGTTTTCTGATCTAAATAGATAGTATATTTCTACTGTTTCAGCATTCCTATAGCAAGCATTAAAACTTTCTTTGGAGGGAGAAGGCAGTGTTTATAATGGATGCTTACTGAAGACTGAATGTCTGGTTTTTGACCTGTGTTATGGTTACTTTACCATATATGCTAAAAAGAGACAGTTTCTGGAGATAGCCTGCTGAATGAAGTTCTAGTTCTTACTAAAATCACCGTATTTGAATCGGGATGATTTGTCTGTAGCTTGTGAACTAAATAACAGGTATTAATTTCCTATTAATTTAGCTAGCTTCAGGTGACCTCCTTGAGAGAGTGGAGACTGTGTGCCCTAAAGATTTAGTGTGTGTGTCATCTTATGATCATGTTACCTTTTAGGCAACAGATCCTCTCAATCTCATTAAACTGTGATGCACTAGGATCAGTGTACATCAGCAGCCCTTCTTTCAGCTGATGCCTGAAATCCTTTTGTGTTCAAGCTAGTCCACTGTTAGGGGTTTGTTTTTTTTTTCCAGTTTTCAGAGGCCCTTCTTCCAACAATAGCAATGTAATCTTTGGGATTCCTGTTTCTCAGCCTTATCTTGAAGAATTCCATAAGAAGGATATTTGACTACTATTTTTTAATTACTCCAGTGATCAGTGAAGAACTCAAGTGGATTCTAAACAACAATCCCCTTCCCAAAAATTAAAACAAACAAAAAAATCCTTTCCCATACCAGATTCTTGAGGGCATTGTGAATTCAAATGGTGTATCCTAGAAGTAGTTCCCATAGAACTATCCTACAGAAATATCTGCAACAGTCCAAAGCTCATTTAAAAGCAAAAATTCCTCTTAATTAGAAATCATTTCAGGGTAGAGATTGAAAGTTTCTCCTTTCATAGAAAGGACTCTCAGTGAAGGAGCAGTTGCCTCGACGAGGTGTTTGTGGGTGGTTTTTGTTTTTTTTTTTTAAAGGAGAAAAGGTTTATTTTTCATCAGCATAATGCGCAGAAGGTAATGCAAAAGAGAGGAATTATTGTCCCTTAGTGAAGACCAAATAGAACTTTCCAGTACATTTTTGCAGGCGGTACGTTAGTGTATACATACACCTTAGTGTATGGGCCATCTGTTGTGCACTTGTAACGTTTTGGTATGCTTTGCCACCATCTTACCACTGATTTGTCTTATGTAAAACAGATTGCGTTGCACAAAACATTCGTCATGAGCAGTGCTCATGAAGTACTCTTTATCTCCACATCAGTCTTATCTCATAAAGAGCACAGGATTTCTGCAGGCAACTGGAGTGAACATTTCCTTCATGTACTGAATCCTGTCAGGCACAGAACTCTTTTTCTGCTTGTTCATGCTTTCTTCCTAACCTATGTGGTTGCATCAGGATAGCATATGGTCAGGAAATGGGATGTTGCAGGGCTGGCAGAGAAATTCAAATAAGAACAGATTGTCTGGAGGGCATTCACTGAGAAAAGTGGCAGTAGTGGACAGCAAGAGTGGTGGAGTGGACACAAACAAGAAGAGTGTTGGCCAGGGAATCGGAAATGAGTGAAGGAGAAATGACTGTGAAAGACCCTCATATGGCTGGCAGATGTGTGATGAATTAGGGGGCTAGATGTAGCCCATGCTCGGAATTACCATACTTTTTTTTTTGTACGTATTGATTTGCTAGTATGTGTTTACTCAGTGTTCAAATGAAAAAATAGGGATAGAAAACAGAGTAATAAGAAAATTGTTCTTTTTACATGAAGATTAAGAATTGTTTTTCAGATGCAGTGTATTTGTGGCAATATTTTGTGTTGATCAGATCAAAGTCAGGTTGGCTTTGTTCACTTTCCTGTTCAAAATCTGAAAAAGATTTTTTTCATTTACTTTTCTGTTCCATTTCTCTTGCTGTCAAAGCATAGTGATTTTGTCTTTGTGAAAATACTGAGTAGAAATAATGTTAATATTTTGGTTGTCTGCCTTATGTCAGGGAAGAAATCAAAGTTAGACATAAATACTACCTGTTACTACAAAACATAATACACTGTGTAACAGTTGTTTTAGGAGCAGTACAGAATGACGTCAGGTGAAAATGTGAAAACCTGTGTTCTACTAGTCATTTAAAGACTTTTACTATTCTCTATTACACTGAGTTTTCCTAAGAATAATGGATTTTATTTGAAAATAATATGGAATGTACTTTGAAAACTTTGAGCTTTGAATGCACTGCATTTTGCTTGTTACTTTCCTTTAACCTTCTGTGAACTCTTTGAAGGACTGCTGCTGTGCTACTACAGATGAAAAATTGTAGGCATGCCAGACATTGTCTTCTGTAACTTAGCTTTTCAGTCAGCAAGACTTGGGAGCAGGCTGTATGTACATATATCTATATGTTCATGCTGCTTTCTGATCAAATAATAAGACTTCTGAGCCTTCTGCAATCCAACTTTGGCTTACTGAGAAATTCCATAAGGGGTCCCTGAGAAATGTACCATTTTTTCCATGATTTTGTAGAGGAAAATGAGTTCAATTACAGCTTTCTTGAATTGTTTCAAGTTCACAACTAATGGATCAAAAAATACTGGAGTTGAAATGCATTTATGTATGTAAAGGGTCAAAATGTATTTTAAAATAAGAACAATTTCTTATAGCAGAATAATTTGTTTAAAGTACTGTTGAGATTAATATACCTGCAGCCAGTATCTGCTCTTTTTTTTGTTTGTTTTAGCTGTGTTCATAATGGAGTCCAGAGTACACAAGAAGCCCCTTACATGCTCAGCTTGATTTCAAGTACTTTGTACCTTCCAATTATTTTTACATAATTTGGAAGCTAACCTTTGAAATACAATGTAAAATTATGCAGATTGAATGTTCTCATAATATTTGAATTTTGTTTCAGAGCAAAGTAGAAGAGATGATTTGGAAGCTTTAGGTCATATGTTTATGTATTTTCTCAGAGGAAGCCTTCCATGGCAAGGTTTAAAGGTAGTGGTTTTTGATATCTTCCTCTATCCTATTTTCAGATCATCAGCTTTTCTTGCCATGATCTTTTTCTTTTTGAAAGTTTGTCTGCAAGCTGTATAACTTCAGAAGCTTGTTTTATTCTTGTATCATAGGCTGATACATTAAAAGAACGTTACCAGAAAATTGGAGACACAAAACGAGCAACGCCTATAGAAGTATTGTGTGAAAACTTCCCAGGTAATGTCTGCTTCTAATAAAAATGTTGTGTATAGATTTAGAAAACGAAACTGGCATAGATAATTGCTTAATACGTGGTTTTAAAAATAAAATAATGTTTCCAAATATGCGTAGTATATGCTATGGTAATAGATACAAGAATTATCCTTTCAAGCAGCACTAAGCTAATGCTGGTGTTTGTCAAAGATAGATTCTTCTAAAGGAAACATTAGAAAAAATTATGATACATAGAGTGGTCAACTAGTCTACATTTGTATCTTCACACCTATAGTTTTGCAAGCCTTTTCAGCTCAAATCTGATATCGTATCCCTTTTTAAAAGAAGCTGCATTAGGAACAGCTTGAAATAATATTTAAAATAACTTGCAAGTAGTTTCAGGTGTTGCTTCTAGTTCTCCTTATGTGCACAGAGAATCAATAAGGTACTAGAAAATTGGAGAGAAACAAATGTCACTTTTTTAAAGTTGGACTCATTAGCTTGGGACAGGGGACACACACATGACATGAACACAATTTTGCCAAATAAAAGTAAACACCTTGAAAAAGAATCACAATATCACTTTTAAGCAAAATGGATTTACTGAGAATAGCTCATGACAAACTTGAGAGATTTGATTGCCTCTCATGAAAGGAAATCCTGTACCCAGCAGGCCTTGTGGACAGGAGGCAGATGTTTTAAGTCATGAAATCTTAGTGCTTTTGCTTTTGATGCTCTTTTTAAATATTCTCACAAGTAGTCTTAAAAGCATAATCAAGAAGAATCTACTATGGGAAGAAGAGTGTAAAACAATTTGAAGTAGTTAAGAACATTTTTGCCAAAGTTGAAACATGAAATGGTATTCCACAGAGATCTGTGCTGGATCTGGTCAGTATTTTTGAGTGCCTTGTATAATTGAGAATGTTTATTAAACTTGCAAATGGCAAGTTTTAAATTTGTAGGCTTGATAGTGGGCTAACCCACTAGAATGAAAGGATCCTGAGATATAACAGACACAGTCTTAAAAATACAAGGTACAGTTCAATAAATCATATTCAAGGTAGTATAGGAAGATAGGATCAAATCCAAATTAAGAATTACTGGGTATGGAAAGGTTTCTTAGGTAATGACTCAGTCAGTCACAAAGTAGATGCAAGTGAATGGTGTCATGCTGCTATATTTTTAAAAACAAACAACCAACCCCCCTGTACTGAATTGGATTATATAAACAGGATATAGCCTGAAAGACCCGAGTGGCTTTGTCTGTTGTACTTGATTCTGGAAAGCCTCAGCTGAAGCAGTATGTTCAATCTTGGGGACTGTACTTGAAAATGTATTGTATTTTAAGGGTACTTGTAAAGAAGTGGGAGTGCTTATATGCCATGTATGCTAGACCTATCACCAAAGACTGAAGGCATGAAGGTTGTTTTAGTTAAGATTGTGAGGGAAAGAATTTCTCCTGTACATTTCAGCTGTTACAAACATGAAAGGAATCAGTTTGCTAAAGCCACAGCAGCTAGGACAAAGTAATGGATATAATCCAAAGTAATTAAGTTTAGACTTGAACTCCTGTGTTTCAAATATACTGAAGAGCATGAAGGGATTGCCATTGCCAGGGAGACTACAGAGTTTCTTTTAAGTGGAGTTGTGTGAAAACAAACCAGGCAGACAAGACTCTAACCAATTTGCTATGGGACAGGGTGCTGTTCTAGATGGCCTTTTGAAGGTCTTCCCAACCCTGTCCATTATCAATTTTTCTTATGTTTTTCATTTCACCACCTTCTGTGTATCAAAAAAATAATAAAATCAAGTGAAATTGACTTTTGTTGCAGAACTTACCAAACATACATTCAGACATTGGCTGTGAATTGACAAAAGTTTAAATCTGGGGGAAAAAAACCCCCAACTGTTCTGGAATATGAATCTTCTGCATCCAGTAATGTGTGCATGTTGATTTTCATGTAGTTGCTAGAATTCTTTGAAAAATAAATATCTAATTTAAGGTGTATATGGTGCACTCCCTGGAAATAATTATGCATGAGTAGCTCCATATATCTAGTGGACTGTTTCCAACAGATTTAACCAAGTACATGCTTGTTGACAGGATTGGATCTGAAAATGGAATGGGGAAAAGATATTTGACCTTGGAGAACAAAAAAGACAAACTTCTTTGATAGTACCTGTGTACATTTTCGTAATAAATATACTCTTGTATGTGGAAGTTTTTGCATGTCAAATATCTGACGTTTTTCTACCTTTTCCTGTCCTTCTTGTCACTTAGGACATAGAATAGAATAAGAAGTATGTCCACCATCATTTCAATTCTTTTCAGTCAGCCTGCAGACTGAGATAGCTGACTGATGTTCCATAAGGCAAGAGAACTCTGTAGTATCAGTGAAAGATACTTTGGTCTTTGTCACATGTGAAACACTTACCTTTTTCGTCCCCTGATCTGTGGAATTGTACTGTCTTTGAGCATGCAATGCTACTGCCATTTTAAGCCTTGTATAAAATATGAGCAAGGACTTAAACTCTGGAGTTTCTGCTTCAAATGCATGATAAGGGTCGTATTTGATTTTTGGAGTCCACCAGTTGTAACAGAATCAGCTGCATTAAATGGCTCAGTTCCAGTATCCAGTGCATACCTCTGAAGACATGCCTTGCATGCTTTGGGTTCTGGTTTACATTGGGAAAGTATGGTTAAAGAAGTGCGTAGCAATGTGTCAATATTTCTCTTCACCTTCTTAAAACAATGATCTCCTTGGTTAGTATTGCTGAAGAGTCATGCTTGTCTGCTGAGCTGGACCTTAGGTACCAAGGAATTCCTTCTATCCACTGTTCCATCTGCTCATGCCTAAAACATGGTGCTTAATACTCTGGTTTTGTCAGAACTGAATGATTTGGGATGTTTCAGCACCATTGTCCTGTGGTGCATTCTTGATGGCACCAACATGATGCTGCCTCACAACTTTTTTGTAATCAAGTTGGTCTCAAACCTTAACTTCTCCCTCTTTCTACCCTGCTATCTCTGAAAGAGTTTAACTTAACATAGCTCAGTCTTAGCACTGCCTTTGCACTTCTCAGCCATCCTCTGTCAGCAGATAGGCTTCTTAGAGCACCTTGTTTGTACCACAAAATGTCAGCTTCTCCGGATTTATTTGAATGTGTTGTGTGGTCAGGGTGAATGTGCAGTGCTGCTGTTGTGTGCTGCTTCTGACATACATACCTCTTCATAGGATCAGTGATTGCTGGTGGCATCTACTTTTAACCTTATTTGTCCTCTGACTTTCTGGTCATATAGAGGTGCCTTCTCTTGTGCTTTGGGACCAGGTGAAGAGCCTTTTTGGGTTGAGAGTGAGGAGCCATTGCTTTTCTCAGAACGGCTTGCCAGTGGGTGGTTTCCCACTCTTTCATGGCCTACAAAGGTTCCTAAACAAATTAGATTTTAAGAGCTTGATCTACCTGGGACTCATGTCCCAGGACTTGGGTCAACTGCTTCACCTGATCCATATCAGGTTGTGAGAAGTTGTTGTAGTACTCTATTCCAAACCACTGCAATGTGATTTTTTTTTCTTTTTTTTTTAATTTTTTTTTTCTTTCTGTAACAGGAAGGTGTGGATGGATGCTTTCTGAATGAACCAAAATTTCAGTATGCTTAGGTTGTTGCTGTGTTCACTCTTCTGGTACTTAGTTCATTCTTATAATACCTGCTTGAATGGAAGGACCTGTAGGACTTGATCTTTTGTGAAAGCTTGTTAACATTTATCTCTTCTCACCATCTGCTGTTTTCTCAGACTGTTTTATTATCACAATGCCCCTCAATTCACTGATTCTTGAAGGAGTTATTGCAAATGTAGTCACATGTCTGAACAGTTTCTCAATGGGATTTGAAGCTTGTGCTTCATCTGTTCATGGGTCCTCCCTTCCAGCCTTGGATTCTTGTAGTGTTCTGTCCATAGGGATGCTTGTCTCTTACAGCTGTTGTCCAGGAGCCTTTCATGGCTTATACCCATTATCAAGAATGGGACTTCTGTATGCTCTGCTCACCTGCCAAGAGGTTTTGTGCTGGAACTTTTGTCTTAACCAGAAGGTTCTGGCTGCTAGTGTGCAGTCTGTACTTCATACCCTTTAATGACTAGGAAAGCTCTTTCCTTTTATCTTTACAGGTCCAGGCCCTTTCAGAAATCTCCCTGGTTGTCTCCACTACTGGGAGAATTTTGTAATTCCCATATAACACCTACCTAAATGAAACTCCATTTGTATGCTGACATGGTATTTAAACAGCGATATTAAACTGACACTGGTCAGAAGTCATTCTACAAGAGCTCAGGTAACCTTGGTACTTCTCTGCAGTGTTTCTGTTCAGGATAGTTGCCAGTTCTGCTCAACACCTTCACATAACATGATGACTGAAGCATTCAGCGCTGCTGCAGCCTTCCATAGTCATGCTACAGTTATAGCTTAACAGAGCCTATACTGAGTGTTTTTTGTCAGGGCAACTGGAGTTGCCCACTTTAGAACGTACGTGTGGATCCTCTCTTAAAGAAAGGAAGGCTACATTCCAGTAACAGGTGTTCTTTGAGACACAGTCCACCCTGTACATTCGTATACCCCCCTCTTTACCTTTTCTTAGGCTTGTCTTTGTCCAATTAACTGGAAAAAAAAAATTGAAAAGTAGAGACATTTTTCTCCCTGCTTTTTTGGCACACTGTGTATCAGGATTGGAAGGTTGAATGGAAGATCTTGACAGGTAATGCAAACAGAAAATTAGTGGGGGTGTCACTTAGTAGGATATGTTTACAATATAGCAGTATTTCTTCACGAATACTATTACTGTTAAGTAACTTTTCTGGTAATTCACAGATTCAGGTGAACAACTGTTCAGGTTTTATGGTGAGAGGTAGAAGTTTCTTTAAAATGTAATAAGTACTGTTTTTTGAGTGAAAAACAGGTTTGAGTTAAAACAGGTATGGCAATTACGTACATTTCTTATTTATATAGAGGAAATGGCTACATATCTACGTTATGTAAGAAGGCTAGATTTTTTTGAAAAGCCGGACTATGACTACTTAAGAAAGCTCTTCACAGACTTACTTGATCGGAAAGGCTATATGTTTGATTATGAATATGACTGGATTGGCAAACAGTTGGTGAGTACAATTAAGCTATTAGAAATGTCCTGGGGTTTTTTGTGTGATCAGTTTTGAGCCAGTGTTAGTCTTCAGTTTCAGAATACGTGCGCATCTCATGACAGATACTAGAGTTGTGAACAGCTGCTATTACAAATACAAACCTGTTTTCAGATGCATTTTCAAAATCTTTTGGCTTGAGATGTTTCATATTAAGTCTCTTTCCAAACACGTACTCACAATATCAAAGTAAATCTCAGCTCAATCCAAAATGAGGTTGTAGGAATTCAGACTAGTTTTTGAGTTGAAGGAGTTTAAAACTTTGCAGGTGATTATCATTATTGCATGTATTTTCTTGCTCTGGGGACTTTCTTGCTCCCAGTATTTTTTAAATATCTGGAGTGTATGATATGCAGATGCAGAGATGCAGAGAAGTGATTGCTGTACATTCTATCAGTTCATTACAAAGAAACTGTCTATACTTTATAAGCACTTCTAATGAAACATGGTGTAGGATATTAGTTTCCATCACAGTGCGTCTACATTTACAGAAAGTGCTGTGTTTATGTTGTTTAAAGAAAGGGTAGAAGATGAATTTTGCGGCACCTCACATTTTTCCTTGCTTCTTTTTAGTAAATGGGGAAGGGGTAGTGTAAGTTGGACAATTTCCAATTATACATTTTACCCTGAAGGTCCTTGTGTGACTCTGACAGAATCGTAGTATTTTATTGCTAAATCTTTTTTCAGTATTTACATTAAAAATTACTTTAAGCCTTTCTTCAGACTTTCATCAGAGTGTCCTAACTGCTAACTGCAGAAAATATCAGCCTAAAGTCTTTCAGAAAATTAATGTCTGATAATAGTCAGAACTGCTACTTCATGAAATTGTGTAAGTCTTGGTTTGACTTCTTTCTTTTTGTTATTGGTAGAGCTTTTGATTTAATTTTATATTTTTGGGTGATGGGAAACTGTCAGATTTGAAGATCAGTTTCTATTACAAACTGGTAACTTCTGGTAAGACTTAGAAGTTTATTTTTTTTACAAGTTACTACATATTATTTGTGTTTCTAGCCTACTCCAGTGGGTTCAATACATTCAGACCCTGCGCTGTCTTCAAACAGAGAAGCGTATCACCACAGAGATAAAATGCAACAATCCAAAAATCAGGTAAACTGCTCATGTAGGATTATCAGCATTACTTTGATTTTTGTCTAATGATTTGTGTTATGTTGTTACTTTTATTAGAACTCCAAAATAACATGACTCCAGGTTTTCTTTGTTTTTTCTTTGATTTAAGTAGGTCCTTGCTAATGTTTTTGTACATCTGTAGAGTTTAAAATGTCCTAAAAGGTTGCTTGTTTGATGCCATGATATAATGTACCTTATATCAGTAGTGAATTTTCTCTCTGCTGATACTTCTAATTTTTTTTAGTTCTCTGTTTTTAATCAATGTCTCTTCCCCGTATACTGTATCATCTATTGGGGTTCTAATATGTACGTATAACACTTTCACCTTTTTTTTTTTTAAACCAGGATAATGACCAAGGTGGTAAAAACTTTAGGAATTTAGATCTGTGTCCATTTACCTAAGCTAAGTTACAGGGTCTTGGTGGACTTTGTTTCTTATTAGGAATTTTGAGTGTTAGCTACTTTACTTCTTTATGAAAATGTATGTGTAGGCATATGTACATATGCAGATAATGTTGATGTAAAATCTATATAGGAATTGAGTATGTAGTACTTCTGTGCTTTTCAGAAATAATATATAATAATGCATGAATTGTTTATTTTTTTAATTTTTATTTCTTCTTTTGCATATGTTCCTAATGCATTAAAAAATGATAGTCCACAGACCATAGGGCAGCTTGGGACCCACAGCAAGCCAATCCACATCATTTGAGGGCTCACCTAGCAGCTGACAGACATGGTGGCTCTGTACAGGTATTTTCTGCTTCTTTGCATGACTTAATCAGTCATTTTGCATTATATAACACTAGTTTCCCATAGTGCATGACATGATTCCTGTTTTCATATTAAGCTCACTTTCCAATAATGTTCAGAGTGTTCCTATTATTCCCCACTTCGCAATTGCCAAACTGAAATTAAAACAGGTGCAGAAAACTATGGATCTTTTTGTATGTGGAATTTCTGCGATGTGTTTTTTAGTGAAAACCTAAACCAATGGAACTATCTCTTTTTTGAGGGAATATACACTTACATCAGTTCAGGCAACTGAAGTTTATACATTTGATGTATCATTTACTTGTATTAGCAACTACAACACTGTTGACTGAATTCAGTGTTGTTCAAGTCATGGTTCTTGTTCCTTAAGCAAACTTCAAATGAAAGTCTTAAGTAGTGATTTTTGCTTAAACTTTACTACTTTTGTTCAAACAATAGTTGGCTAGAAGAATGTTTCCCAGGGCAGTACTTCACACTTCTCAGTGGAAAAGTGAATAGAAAACAACAATTTTTCCTTTATTATTACTTTATTTCGTCTTCAAAGAGCTTTCTTTTTACTGGTTTGCTCTTGATTTTGCTTTTTAGTGTCTTGCTCTTTCACTATATGTAGGGGTGAGATGGTTGGGATAACACATAAGGAAGTCTAAATTTAATGTAGAAGGTTGCGAAGTCTATATGAAGTTTTGAGCATTCAGTCCGAAATGAAAATAATTTACCTTTGTAAAGTGTTATCTGGGGAAAAAAGCTATTTTTTTTGTCTGCTGCACTTTTGATTCTGACAACCTAAGTTACGTATATTTCTTCTGAAGTTTTCTTTTGGAAAAAATTTGTCAATGCCTGAAAAAAAGTGAGAAGTTCAGGGTAAAGAAAACAGTGCTGTAGTTTCACCAGTGTGATAATTCCATACGTTCTTCAAATGCTTTGAAACTCGATTCAAACTTAACGTTCTCTAAATTCTGCTGCTTTAGAAACTACTGTCCTGTATCATGTAAGAAAAGCTAGTAGGTGATAATTATCACTATGCATCAAGAAAAGATATTAACAAATACTTTGAAAACTTTACCTGTATACTTAACTTGAATTGCAATAGCTCAATAACTCATTAACATCAGTTTTAAAGGTAGTAATTTATCTTTTGAGAACAGCATAGTAATGTGGAATTAAAATTGGATTTGAAATTGTATCTTCCAAAATTATTACATTCTTAAATATGTATTTTTCTAACCTAAAAAATAAATTAAAAAAAACTTGTTAAATTCTGGTTAGCAGAATTTTGAAGTTCTATATCATATCACTCTTTTGGCAATCATAGCTCTTAAGAAACCTTTTATTCTTTCTCAGGTAAAATGTAACATTTGCAAGAGATTTTATTTCACTGTAAATGTTAGATACACTTTGTGGGCAGGGAGAACATTTTGTAGGAAATATCAGTAGTATTCCTTTCTGTTAATATAATGTTCTTTCTTTTTTTCTCAAAGGATACGGACATTCTGAGTTCAGATCACTTAGATCAGTTGAGACTAAACAGCTGTCATGTAAAAAGAGCAGTGTGCAAAACTGCAGCCATTTGGTCTGTGTCTTTGAAGATAGTGTTGTACAGAGGGGTGTTTTCAAGCCAGCTTAATTTGGTTGCTTTTTAGTGTGGAGTGGTCATGCTTCCTCAGTAAGAGCACTTCTAAAACTACATAATATCTTGAGCTTTGTTTTGAAGTTTGTGCCCTTGACGGTTGTCAAATACCCCTTTGTTGTAGTGATACTAACTGAATCATGCTATTAAGTTGGACGATTAGCTAACTAGTTGTTGTGGTTTAGCCCCAGCCAGCAACTAAGCACCA